AGGCTCGGACAGCCATCACAGGCCAGGGTTCCAGGACGTTTCAATTTCCATATCTTAATTTTTCAACTTTTAGCAAAGTCACAATGAGCACCATTAATGTTTCCTCATGAAACTACTTTTTGTTTTCCTTAACTAGGTGACACGCACAGCGTTGCTGCATCCTTACATATTGCTACACGGACAGGTCAACCTGTTTCCCATTGGGACACATTCCTGTGTTGATGATGGAGGTCACTGGGGAAAAAGGATTCACGTACAGAAACTGGCTGCACAGCCTCATTGGCAGGAAAAAATGCCAGCTCCTGTCCACACCCATGACAAACGTAAGACACAGCCACACCCAGGCCCTGCCCACCAGGGTGAGCTCTGCCAGCCGGTGGGTCTCAGGCTCTGGTTGGGGGTAGAGGGTGAGGTATCTTGGCAGCAAAAGGGTTTCCAATCCCCGGTCCTGTGCCACATGGGTGACAGTTAGTGGCTGTGACTCAAAGAAGTCTGGGCAGAAGCAGGGTAGTTTCCCAAATTCCAGCAGAACGAGGCTACACCCTGCCTCCATCCAGCCTTTGAATGTGGCCAGAGCCCACCTTTGGGGAAGACACCATGGGCCAGTAATTCCCCCTTCGAGACTGACTGACAGGTGTTTCCAAGGATGTGCTACCCGGTGTGATGTAGAAGGGGACAGTGGAAACAATCTAAGTGTCCTGCACTAGGGGACAGAGTACACACCCCATGGAACTCCAGATCTGCCGGTGTCCATGTGCTGTGGAAGGACGTTTAGTGCCATGGGGAATGTTTACATCTACGTCGGGGGAGGGGGATGCAATGCAAATGCTGGGTTTCATTTTTCCTAAGATACATACATATTTTTTAAAAGTCTGAGGAAGAAATCCACCCAAAGAGAAACCGAGGCTCATAATGCAGCCAATGATATTCCAGGTTTTAAAATGGCTTACTTTCTGCTTTTCTGGATTTTCCCCAATTTTCAAACCATGAACAAGTGTGGCTCTTGCAATGACAACGTTCAAAATCAACTTTATTGAGGTGTCACTTAATATACATCCTAACGTTAAGGGCACCCCTCAATCAGTTTCGACAAACGTCACGGCCTCTTTATCGCCACCACAATCAATACAGAGCATCTCCATGCCCCCAGAAAGCTCCCTCTCGGCCTTGTCCAGCCGATCCCTACCCCCACTGCCGGCCTCAGGCCACCACCCATCAGCTTTCTGTCACCATACACTAGATTTGCCTTTTCCTAGAGTGGTCATTACATCTTAAAAATAAATAATAAGTAAGGCAAAGAGAGCCAGAGAGTAGCCTTTAAATAAATAACAATAGCTACCCCTTGTATTTCACACCTCTATATGCCAGGTGGTCTCTATATAAATATTGATCTCTTGACCGGTAATCTATTCTAATTCTCACATTAACCCCGAGAATTAGGTATCTTATGCTTTTACAAATAAGGACATGGAGACCCCAAGAAGCCTTCCTTTTTCCACTCGGCCTCAGTCCCCGTCCATTTGTGGGCTAACAGGAGAGCCTGTTTTTGGAATAATGACCCTAGTGGGGAAAAACATATGGGTTTTGGTGAAATAGAAGGCTTTGGGGGAAGTAACACATGCTCTAGCAGATTCTAGAAAAAATATAGGGCTGAGACTCAGAAGCACTGAGCGCTAGTTTTGTCTTGGCCTTGAGCAACTAGCTGTGTGGCTTATTTCATCCGCGTCTTCACAGTCCTTTGTGTCTCAAGCTGGAAACTGCAGTTCTGATAACCTGATGAAGATTTTTACCAACACGGCAGAAGCTTCTGCAGTTAGAAAGTACTTCTAGCCATGGGGGGGTGGGGGGTGGAGGAAGAGCACAGGAAGTGCTTACGAAGGCACGTTTGTAAATTTCTAACTGTCAAGTGAAAAGAAAAAGAATTATCTTCATCATGAAAAGACTGGACTGAAGCTGAAGATTTTCGTCACTGCTTGGACGTAGGTTAGAAGCGATGAAAGGCTCTCATTTGCCATCATCAGCAACCAGACAAGCTTTGGGTTGAAGGAGGGCGACCCCAGGAAAAGAGTTTAGGGCAGTGAAAAACAATCCAGCTAACATCAGATCCAGAACAAAGCCGCCAAGCCAAGCCCTTCTGGCTCTCTGGGCCTGAGACCCCTGGGGCCCTGAATGGGCTGAGCAGGGCAGCTGGGGTGACTTGGACCCCGCTGGCATTGTCCACTCCAATCAGTGAATGAAATCTCACCAGGGCGAGTCAGCTGGCTCAGGCACCTGGGCCAAATCAAATGCAGCCTGAAAAATAAAAATGAGCCCAACCCAGGACATTGGGGGCTGCAGGGGCATGCGACGCATTGAGAGGCTTCAGAGGGAGACCTCGCCCTCGGCGACTAGGCAACTCTCACCTGGACAGCCTTAGCCGCAGCGCCCCCTGCTGGCCAGCGCTGCCTTTCCTCTCCCCGTCTTGGCTTTTTCCAATCAGTACCAGCAAACCGGCCCAAGCTCCGGTGCCCCGCCCACCTGGGTGCAAACCCCCGCTGGCTGCCTGGCCAACTCTGTAGGCCTCCGTTTTCTCACCTGTAGCACAGATTAAATCACCTGAACTCTCAGAGCAGTGCTGTGACTGTGGGATGCCTGATACACCACAGACAGACCCTCGGTGGACAGCCACCACTCTTCATGAACTACACCCCAGGCACTTTATGTCCACTCGTCCATGACTCCAGCACAAGGCTGAAAAGCAGGCATGAGGAGGCAACAGGCCCAGCAGGTTCGTGGCCTGCCCAGGGAGTGGCCAGGTATGGATCTTTGCTGCCGAGGGTCTGACCCTGCAGGCTGCGCCCCTGCTAGGAGGCCATTCCACCTCCCGCAGGCAAAGCATGGCGTGGATTTACAAGCCCAACAGCCTGGGTTCAAATTCCAGGTCTACCGTTTACAGGTTGTGCAGCCTTGTGTCACTCTGCCACTTTTCTAGGGCCCTCTATCTGTCCAATGGGGGGGTTAGAATGTCATGGGGGTTCTTGTGGGGGTTTAAGCAGAGAACACCATAAAGTGCTCAGAACAGAAGACCAAGCTGCCGACTTTGCCGTTCTCCTCGGCTCCCAGATAACAGCGGCCACTCTTTTCCCACCATGGCCCAAGGAGGGGCAGCTAAGGGGGGAGGGGAGTTGGAGCCAGAAGCTGGCGTCCCCCCTCCTCCCCCAGCCCGATTTGGGGCGTGTTCCCCATTGCAGCCCCTGCCATCCTCCTCAGGCCTTGCATTTATCCAAGATCTTTAAAAATGAGAGCTGCAGGGGAGGGTAATTAAGTTTAATAGGAGCCGCCGTCGATTTAAAGCCACAGGGGGGAAGTAATTAGATTTAACAGAATGCAGCGGCTTTCTGAATCAAGACACGCAGCGTGGGGGTCCCTGGTCTATAAAGCCTTTGAGATGATGTCTTTTTGTAAAGGCTTTCCTGGTGACATTCTCTGTGCGCCCCGTCATTAACGCCAGTCACTGACTGGGATGTGAACATGGCTTTCACTCATCGAAATTCATTAGGCCTGGCACTGCTTTCTCTCCCAGCGCCGCCACCGTTTGCCCTCCCGTCGCCTTTGCTCTGATCCAGTGTGGCTTTTCCCCAAAACCTGCCTCCTGGGGCCCCACACCCAAGAGGGGTGTGTGTGTGTGTGTGTGTGTGTTTAATGGGGGGTTTGGGGGGGTGGAGGAATGATAAGAAAGAATCAGTGTTGAGCCAAAGCCCCCTGGGAGGACCCCCGTCTTCCCGCCAGGGCATTCTCTGGACGCTGTTTCCATTTTCAGAGCATCATTAACGAAGGTCTCTGGTTTGCAGGAGCCACTTCACTGAGTGGCCCCCTTTTCCCCACCTGGTGTCGGCCTGACCCTAGCAGCCCTGGTAACTTCCTCTTCCACTCGCCATCAGGTAAGGCGCTCCCCGGCCTCTCCGCGCTGCGCTCAGGGATCCAAAGACTGCACCAACGACGAAAGGCACCTCAAAAACAGAGGCGCGCCCGGGCCTGAGCTGGTAAGTCAGCTAGCTTCCCAATCTGCAGCTTGCAAGCCCACCCGGTCCCCAGGCGCCATCTCTCCGGTGCGCCGCGGGCGCCGCAGCGCGGACGCCGCGAAACCCGGGCTGAAGCGCCATCTAGCGGCGCCCTCGTGACGCCCCCATTGTTTCTCCCAGGGCGGAGATCTTGCCCGGACCCCCGTCGGGGTACAATTTACTGGGATAAAAGGGGCCGAGGGTGGAGGGGGGGCAGAGATCGCGAGAACATAAGGTGGGAGAACGTGAGAGGGTACGACCTGCAGGGGACATTATTTCCGAAGGAGGACTTGACGTCCGGGGATATGAGGCACCTTCCCGGGAGGGAGAGGATGGGGCTTTTAGGGGGGCAAGGCTTTCCTGGACCGGGAGTAAGGGATGCACAACTCAGTGCCTCCCAATCTCTGGCTCCCGGGTTCCTGCCTCCGCCCCAGCCAGCGCTGCAGCCTGGGGGCGTGGCTCCGACGTCTCCTTTATTGCTTTATAAAATCAAATTCGCCCAGCCTGGAGCGACCTGGCCGCTTGCCCCGCCACCGCGCCGCGGGGAGGAGCTCCCCCGAATCCTCCCGCGAAGCAGGGCCTCCCCCTTCACTGGATCCGGGCGGCCTGGGCGGGGTCACCCGGGCGGGGCCCGGGGAGGGGGCTGAAGCCGGAGGCGGGGTATGAGTGGGTGTGTGCGGGGGGCGGGTGCCTGATGCAATCCCGATAAGAAATGCTCGGGTGTCGCGGGCACCCACCCGCCGCGAGGGTAAGACGCGCTATATAAGACCGCCAGCCGCGAGCCGCCGCGCCGTCGGAGCAGCAGCGCAGCTCATCCTGAGCGCACGGTTCGCTCGAGGGCCGCGGCCAACCCCCCACCTCGCCACGCACAGCCCTGCAACGCGTCCCGGCTGCTGCTCAGCCTCCCGCAACCCCGCAACCCCGCTGCCGGAACTGCGCTCCGAGCCCGAGAGAGGTGCCATGCGGAGCCGGTGCTCTGTGGCCCGCGCCCTGGTCCTGGCCGGCCTCTGGCTGGCCTCAGCCGGTGTCCCCCTAGCTCTCTCGGACGCTGGGCCACACGTGCACTACGGCTGGGGCGAGGCCATCCGCCTGAGGCACCTGTACACCGCCGGCCCCCACGGCCCCACCAGCTGCTTCCTGCGCATCCGTGCCGACGGCGCGGTGGACTGCGCGCGGGGCCAGAGCGTGCACAGTGAGTGCCCGCCGGGTCTCCCTGCTGCCCAGCGCCCCTTCCCTTTACTTCCTTCGATTCCCCGCCGGCTCTCCACTCCCGAAAAAGCCAGGTTTTGGCACATCCGAGTTCTGCTCCCGCTGGGTACCCAGACAGCGCGAGGAGCTGGGGGAGGAGGACATGGATGTGTGGACCTTCCACACTCATGCGTCACCCTCCCCTGACACCACCCCTTTGGCTTCTGCGTATCCCTCGCTCTTGAGAACCCCAGGTTTGGGCACCTCGGCGTTCCTTTCCCTCCCCGAGACCCCAGACGCGCGCGAGGAGCTGGGGCAATGGGGGGCTGGGGGTGCACGGGCCCATGCACCGACCGCATCTACGTGTTATGGGCCCCGCGGGTCCCGCCTGAAGCTTTTTGCTTCCCTCGAACCAGGTTTGGTGGAAATCAGAGCGGTCGCCCTTCGGAACGTGGCCATCAAGGGCGTGGACAGCGTTCGTTACCTCTGCATGGGAGCTGATGGCAGAATGCTAGGGCTGGTAGGTGTGACCACCGGGAGGGACTAGCTGGGGCACGGGACACACGCCTCTCCCCAGGTGGGGGCCTGCAGGGGAGGGGGGCGCTCTGGATCGACTCCAGAGTCCCCTGTCTTCCTCTGCTCGGTCCCGCGTGGAGCTCGGAGGGAGAGACTCGGAGGGCAAGGACCGTATTAAGCTAATGTCGGACTTCTTTTCTACGGAGGTAGCGGGTGGATGGAGAATGGGTGGAGAGCCGCCTTTGCGTTTTCGACTGAGCCAAAGGCCGGCCCATCGGACGAGGAAACCCATTACTTGGCCCTCTCTGCTATTAAACAGGAAAACCCACCTCGGGCCTTCTCAGCCTGGGCCTGCTCTTGGGTGGTCCTCGCCTCCGATTCCCTCCCCGCAGTGCTAAAAAAAAAAAAACGGAAAGAAAGAAAGAGGGTAGATCCACGACTTGGATCTTTTTTTAAACAGTAAATCTTTAAACAAGTCAGCGAAAAAAGTTAACATTTGGGCTTGTAGAAGATTTCAAAATTTTTTATCTACTAGAAAAACTTGTTCGTAGGCGCGTCAGAATCATCCAGTGCGTTCTCATCCTCGTGCCCTGCTCACCTGTTCTGCAGATGCTTTTTGGGGAGTCTGGGGGGCGGGCTGGGATGGCCCGGGTACCCACGGAAGTCTCAGGGCAGGAAGTGTGCGGATGCTGGGTCTCCGGTCTCCAGGAACAAAGGCTGAGAGTTCAAAGGGAACCGTCGCCCCTCCCGCGCCAGGGTCGCGCAGAGCAGGCTGTGTGAGGTCCTGGCGGGGCGCAGGGCCTCAATGCAGTCCCGCTGGGCCGGGGGCTCCGTTGGTTGGAGGAGCAGGCGTGGGAGAGACTCTGCGCCTGGGGGAATGCCCCGGCCCCCCCAGAAAGGATGCAGATGCCCGGCTTTCTCCTGCAGTGCGAGTATTTTTAGTGTCAAAATTGTGCTGCGTCCCTGGCGCCGGTTTATTCCGTTTATCCCCAGTGCCTGTTTCAGGTTTTATGATGGAGTCCTGCGTGAAAGGACAAGAACGGAGGCAAAGAAAGGAGGTGGTCAGCTGGCTGAAAGCTGACACCAAAAGCCACTCCAAATCTACTGGTGCAACTTTTGTTATTGTGACATTTACTTATGGGGTGGGCGGGAGGCTGGAGGGTCTACTAACCCACCATTCTCCTAATTCAAACTTGGTTTGGGGGGTGGGTGTCCACCTAAACTCCAGTTCTGCCTCTCGATCCTGTGGGCATGGCTTAGCATAAAATTGTTTTGTTGCCTTTTTTAAAAAAACAGTTTCCACATTCTCCTAGGAATTTGAAGTCGTATAATTTTCTGTATGGAGAAGAGAGTCGAAATGCTTCATTTCACCCAAAGAAGCAGCAGAGTCAATCCACCATTTGGTGCTACTTCCCTTGTTTGTCAATTTGCATCTCCCCCTCCCGCTGTCTGGTGGCTTAATCTGTCTGGTGGCTTAATCCCAGTTCCTGGGCCACCGGCCTTATCAGGGCCTTATCAACACAGCGCTCACCCACCTGCAGTTCAGCGACCTTTGTAGGCTGGGGCAGAATGAGACTGGGCGCCTCTCCTTGGGATGTTTACCGCCCAGCCTTCCTGGCTCCCTGCCTGGGTTGTCCTCTCTATCCAAGGGTAATGACACTCGTTGGAGATAGAACTTACCCGCTGGCACCTCTCAATCCACTACGACGGTCTGGCACCAGGTGCTGTTTTCCCTCCTTCCCCCTGAATTTCCGGCCACCCCCGCTGGGTGCAGGCTCTGCCCTGGGCCAGGGGGAGGGGGCTGCCTTTATTTTGATGATCCTGGCAGGCTGCCGGGAAAGCTCTCTGCAAATGAATGAGGGGGCTGATGGTTCTCACTAAGGCACCAGGCTAAAAGGCTTGAGAACCATTTGGGTCTAAATGAGGACTAGATTCTTCAACCTGGGCCCCAGCTCCGATTCCGTGTGATTCTTAATTGAAAGGCTGATCCTGAAAGGTCAGCGCTTTGGCAGTGTTTCCCAAAGTGCCAGTGGCATGCCAGGGACTTATCAATGTCAAGACTGAAAGGGTGAGGGAAGCACGTGTGCATATCACGCCTCTGATAGTACGGACACTGTTGCTTAGGACAAGACTAAGTTTAAAAAATGTGACGTGATTTTGTGAAAAATATAAAGGACCCATGTAAAAAGTGTATATAGATGTTGAGTATAAACATGAAATATATACCTGAAGTGTTTGTGTAGTTAAAGGTTATAAAGTATAAAGGTATATGAATTTATATATAAAGTATATATTTAGTGTATACATTTTACTGTTAAGATTTAACATAAGTACATTATAAAGATTACAGTACAGCATAGGGGGAATGTAACAGCTATGGTGTCAGATGGGCACTAGACTTTCAGGGTGCTCACTTCGTAAGGTGTGTGTGTAATCTGTTCTATAGATAACACTGATATATAATGTATATCAGCTGTAATTGTACAATAAAATGAACTTAAGTGAAATCGTAAAAAAATTACAAATGTATATTATAATGTCATATATGTTCAGTGTGTGTTGATGTAATACATGCTTTCTATATACTTTATATGTGAACATACATTACATTATACTAAGTACAAGTTTACGTATAAAACATATACTTTAAATACCTTTATATTTTGTAACGTATTTTATAACCTCTAACTACACATGCATGCACACAACTAATAGTGCAGACCGAGCAGGGGTAAGTAACAAACGCCCACCTGTATGGGTCTCGACTTCTGGCGGTGTCACACCTGGGACGGGACGTGATGGGGGCGGGTCACTCCTTGGTGCTCACAGGTTGTCTGTTTTCTCCGCAGCCTCAGTACTCGGCCGAGGACTGTGCTTTCGAGGAGGAGATCCGACCCGATGGCTACAACGTGTACTGGTCCAAGAAGCACCAGCTCCCCGTCTCCCTGAGCAGTGCCAAACAGAGGCAACTGTACAAGGAGAGGGGCTTTCTGCCCCTGTCCCACTTCCTGCCCATGCTGCCCAGGAGCCCAGCGGAGCCCGAAAACCTCGAGGACCATTTGGAGTCTGACACATTTTCTTCACCCCTGGAAGCGGACGGCATGGACCCTTTTGGAATCGCCAGTGAACTGAGGCTGGTGGAAAGTCCCAGCTTTCAGAAATAACTGAGGTTCTGGCCTCCCCCTGCCCTTAGAGGCCAAGACCCCAGGCCTGTCTGAGGTGCTTGCAGAGTGGGCTCTGGCCACGCTTGACAAGCACGATCCTGGACCTATGTGCTATTTAGCTTTAGGAAGAAATATTTAGAACTTGTACATAGACAGTTGGACATTGGCTGTGCCAGTCTCTAGGAGATAGACTTGTATGATCATGAAATTGTAAACCCTCCTCTTGCCCAGGTGCTACCCCAGCTCCCTACCCCGCACCCTGGTCATTGCTGGACACGTGCTGTCCCAATTCTGCTTGAATACCTCCGCTGATGGGGAACTCACTATCTGAGAAAGTTCATATGCCGAGCTGAAATTCTCTGCAGTTCTCTCCCATTATTTATAGCAGGGGCAGCAAGAAGAAAAGCAAGTCGTTTTAAAACCTTCACAGGTGATATGAGAATGGCAGGTAAAGGTGAGAACTGATCCAGATCTCAACTCTGAGGAGGACCCTTGGCCTTGCCCAGGCCCCTCCAGGACACCACCAATGTGCAGGGGGAGCCCAGAGCACTGCCCCTCCCCCCACCTCCAGCCTGGGTAAATCTTGAGAACGCCCCCTGATGGCTGGTTCTGGGATAGATAACCTCTGACGGACTACCTGGCAGTGCGCCTACTTCCCCCAGAACAGCCAGCACCCTGCACACGGCCACCACTTGCCAGGCTCAGCCTGGCTCCCCTAAGGTGAAGGGCCATTCTGCCACCTGCTCAGAGGGACAGGACATAAAGACAGCCAGCCCCAGCAGCCCTTCCCTGTGTGGCAGGTGCTGTTTCCAGGTAGTATGAGTTTCTCTTGAGGGCCTTCGATTTGGAACTCCACAGGCCCCTCCCCTTCTCTGCCCCCCCCCATAGTTCTTCCCATCACGTTGGGGGCTCTGGCTCCTTTTTGAGCGCTATGCATGTTGACCCGAAAAGAACAGCTGCAGAAGGTGCTTCCATTTCCTGGCCCTTTGCCCCTGCACCACGTCGTCCTGTGCGAGGGGACTGGACAGCTCCCCACCTTCCATCCAGAAGCCAGGAAAAGGGAAGGCTTGAAGCCAGTCTGGCCAGTAACAGGTGGGAGCAGCGGGGCATTGAGTTTTCCCAGCACTTCATCCCCAGCGTGGTATTTATGACTAATTTATTTTGTTTGATATACGCACATCTCTTTATTTTCCTACTTTATTTATGCCTCCCAAAGTGTATTTATGTGTGTACCTGATTTTGGTTTTCTACATTAAAGCAGAATTTGTATCAAATGGTGCATTCTGTTGTCCAGCAGGAATGTTGGAGGAAGGGGCAGTGGGGAGGGGATGGCAGCTCCGGGCACAGGAGCTCCTCCCAGTGTGTTTGCTGATACTTTTCCTTAAAGTTCTGATGGTTGCCACACCCCTTCCAGCTGAGACTCAGGTGGGTTATTAAATGATAGGTGTAGGTGAGCCAGCTAGTGGAGGAAGCTGGTGTGGGCCCAGCTGCCCTCCCTGCCAGGGTGCTGGCATCCTCAGACCACCTCTGCTAGAAGGCTGAGTGGTTAGGGTGGCATCTGTGTCAGGAGTATTCTCAGCTGCAGGAAACAAACCCAGTAACAATGGCCCAACTTGGGGTGTCTCTTGACGTTTGGGGCCATGTAGTTGTTTACTGGGGGCAGGTGCCCTGAGTTCTAGAATGATGAGCATCCCTGTCCTCACTCGCTAGATGCCACTAGCACCCCCTCATTGCAACAACCAAAAATGTCTCCAGAAGTTGCTGTGTATCCTTGGGGGGCAAAATCACCCCCTGACTGGTAGTGTGTTTAACACAGCGGTTCCCGGGTCTATTCTCCGTGATTCTCTTGGTGTCTCCAATCCTTTCCTTGTGGTCTCACGTGGCTGCTGAGCCTTCAGCCATCTGCTCACGTCCGGGAGAAGAGTCTGTGCTGCATTGACCTGGAAAAGTGAGACTTCCTCAGGCCCTGCCAGCAGCTCTGGTGACGTTCTGTGAGCCAGGATTGGTCACAGGGCCGCCCCAGCTCAGGGCAGGCTGGGAAAAGCAAGTGTTAAGTGGGGCACATTGCCCCTTGCCCCTCTGATCAAACCGGGATTTGTTAGATAGGAAGAAGGGGGGCAGGGGATGATATGGGGGGTGACCAGTGAAGACCTACACCCTCCAGTGCTGGCTTGGTTCTGTGTCTTAGTTGCGGTGGCTGCATCGCATCCGCAAGATTCAAGAGCCACCTCACGCCCACGGGACCACCAGTTCTCTGGTTTGGATATGGTTCCACAGTTACTTAAGATGTAACCAGTAGGGGAAACTGGGCCCAGGGGACCCAGGACCTCTGAACTCTGCAGCCTCCTGTGAATCAATAATTACTCCAAAATAAAAAGTAGGAAAAACACCCCAAACCCCAAAACTGTTCTCTGATAGCATAAAAACCACTAAGTCGGCTCCTTGCCGTCCGGGCCACAGCTGTGGCGTGGCTGAGTGTGGAGGCTGGGCCACAGGCTGCCGGGGGGACTTACCAGGTCTCGCACTTACCAGCTGTTCATTTGGGAGCATCTCGTCGACTTCCTTGAATGCTCAGTGTCCTCCTCTGTCTGAGGGGTGAGGATGGAATGAGAATGGCACGAGAACAGTGCCTGGCGTGGACAAGTGTCCAACTCACTCGTTCACAACGGAGCCCACTGGGTGCTCACGTCGGCCCGTTACGATTGAGATCACTGTGACAGTCTATGAAGGCCATTTCATGAGGCGCCTCTCACCCCACAGCAAAGGGCCCCCATTCTCTAAACCTGCTTTTCTGCTGATGACACACCCCGAGCCCCCAGAGTTGAGCTCTCCCGCCACATTTTCCCATTATGATGCCCCTCACTCTTTAGTGCCCCCGCCAGGTGCCAATACTAATTTGAGACGTGGGTTGGCAGGACTGCATGATGCCCGCTGACACAGCCTTCTCCACCCCTCTTTGTATGGATGAGGGGGTGCAGAGAGGAGAAGACACTCCTCCATGCACAGCCCGGAGGCAGCATGGTGGAAGGGCCGAGGGGTTGCACCCACCCAGCAATGAATCCCCGGCCCATTAACCTGCTGTGTCACCTTGAGTAGGTCGTGTCACCTCTCTCAGCCTGCATCCTCATGTGGATGGTGAGATTGACAGTGTCTGCACCGCAAGACTACGGGGAGAACCAAAGGGAATTACGTCTGCGAGACGCCTGGCACAGAGCGGGCTGCCAGCCAGCAGCAGCCCTCACCAAGCCTAGAACCCACAGTACTCAGCTGTTATTTCCACTGGTTCTTAAATTTGGCTGCCCATTGGAATCATGGGGGAAACCCCGATAGCTAGGCCCCACGCCATCTAACTGGGATGGGTTTGGCCTGGCCCACAGGGTTTTCTAGAGCTCCCTGGTGGTCCACATGTGCAGCCCAGGAATCCAGAGGCAAACAGTTTACATTAGATCCTTTGTGCTCTGGGGGACAAACGCTTCAGGGGAAGATGAGGTGCCTCCCTTCCTGGGGTGAGTCTCCCCCTATAGCACGGGAGCCAATGCACAACTTTGTAAACTAATTCATACTAGAGTGTTGACAGTTAATATGTGTGCTGTCCAGGCCACATTTCCACTTGACCTGGCAGCCAAAAAGTGGAGATGACCGTCCCTTGTGGATGGTGTGGGCACTCTGGCAGGACATGGGGACGATTCTTGTTTGAGAGTGAATCTCAGCCCCCATCACACTGCCCCGCCTTTGCTTGGCTTAGGAAGAGGGCCTTGCATCTCCCTTCCCTGCCCTCCAGAGTGTAGTCAAGTGTAGCAAATACGGCGCACCCAGTCACATTTGAATTTCAGACAAGCAACACATTTTTTAGTATAAGTATATCCCATGCAACAGTTGAGACATACTTACACTAAGAAACTCTTCATTGTTCATCTGAAATTCAAATTGAGCTGTGTCCTGCATTTTATCTGGCAGCCCTAGCTTTAGAACCACACCCCTGACGTGGGGTTAACTAATGAGGGAGGACAGGGACTCAGTTGGACAAGCCTGTCCAGTGTGAGTGCCCAGAGCAGAATTTGAAAGACCCCAGGGGCAGGGCCGCCTGGACAATCCCATTCCTTTGGGTTGTTTGTCTACCTGTGAAGTGAGAATCCTTTCACTGCCTCAAGGCTTCGTTACCCTTAGGGGTGGTTCACCTTCCTGAAAGGGCTTCAGGTATGCTGGGTCTGGGGGCTCTGACAGCCGCGGGCATCAGTATGTCCTTCTCTCAGTTTTTAGGGATCTTTCTTTCCTGATGACAAGATGGTCCCCAGCGGCTGCAGCCTTCTCTTCTATCCTCCTGCAGCCTCAGAAGGGAGGACAGACATTCTCTCCTACCAACAGCTCCAGCAAGAGTCCCAGAATTAGGTCTGGCGAACCCTCACCATGTCCCACGGCCATTCCCCACCAGATCTCCCCAGCCGGGATCCAGGATGCCCAGGATAACCCTGGGAAGTCAGCCCAGGACGCTCAGGACCTGGCCTTCATATGCTGGTACCGCCGGGTCCCAAGCAGCACACCATCCCCTGCCCTGGCCCCCTCGTCTGGTCTCTAGTCCCCTCTGCCTGGAAGGTTTTCCCCAAGCTCTGCTCAGCTTGCAACCTCACTTTAATCCAGTCTTTCCCGACCACACCCACTAAACTAGCCCGCCCCGTCCTGCACAGGACTCTGGCCCACAGGTGGACGAGCTCTCGGCACCATGGCCCGTCGGAGGCCAACTTTCCCTCTTACCAACAACGCTCTGGAAACATTTGTGAACACACCTCTTTGTGCACATCACCAAGCATTTTTTTCTAGCATGCTGCATTGGTTTCCGTGAGCTGCCATAACAAACTTCCAGAAATTGGGTGGCTTAAAACAAGAGAAATTGATTCTCTCCTGGTTCTGGAGGCCAGAAGTCTGAAATCCAGGTGTCGCAGGGCTGTGCTCCCTCTGCAGGCTTCCGGGAGGGTCCTTCCTGCCTCTTCTAGCTTCTGGGGGCTCCAGGGGCTCCTGGGCTGGTGGTCACAT